CGTTGTTCGGACGACCCAGCGCGTCCGAGTGCTTTCATGGCGCTGTGGTGCATCTTGGCGCGGCCGATCCCATCCGATTCCGACTCGGTGCCGAATAGGCCCGATCCGACGCGCATTCCGATTCGACGAGATTCCCCGATTTGATGCTGGCTGATCTTGCCCTGGCCCCACCCCCCTTCGCCTCACCCACCACCATGACTCGAAGCATCAGACACGACCTAAAGAACACGTTTCGAAGGCGCGCGCGGACTTGCTGGGTCGGCGCTGGGTTCGCCCTGGGCGAGAGTGGCTGCCCTTCTCCACGGGGGGCGGCGCGAGAGTGCGATGGCGCGGAGATAATCGTGCGTCGCGCATCGCGGTGCGCGATGCGCGATGCGCGAAGTCAAGCGACCCAGGCCCGCGGTCCCCGATGCTCGAATCTGTATGCGTGCTGTATCCACAGCTTGGACGGGGATCTGGCCGTGGCAAGGAGAAGAATCGGGGTGCGTACAATTGCACCCAAGCCCAGATCCACGAACCTCGGTCCTCGAACCTCGATCCTCGAATCCCAAACCCCGATCCTTGATCCTCGAACCTCGATCTTGTTGTTTAGGGTCGGAGGTCGAGATTCGAGGGTTGCGGAGTGAGGTTCCAGGATCGATGATGGGGGTTCGGGGTTCTGAGCACGAGGGTGTGAGGATCGAGGCTCGAGGATCGACAATCGGGGTTTCGGGGTCGGGATTCGAGGATCCGCGATCCTCGAATGTCGATCCCCGATCCTCGAACCTCGACCCCCGACCCTCGAACCCCGTGCCTCGATCCTCGACCCCCGATCCTCTGGCTCCCATTCCCAGCCTCGATCCTCGAGGCCCGACCCTGTGACTCTGATCCTCGAGTCCCGATCCTCGAACCCCGATCCTCTGACCCTCTGACTCTAATCTTCGCATCCTGGTCCATGAGCCCCGAGCCTCGATCCCCGAGCTTCGATGCTCGATCCTCGAGCCCCGATCCTCGGAAACCTCGATCCTCGGAAACCTGGACCCTCGAAGCCCAGATGACCCCGAGCCTCCATCCCTCGAGCCTCGAGCCTCCGCCTCGATCCTCGGCCTCGGCCCTCGATGCCCGAGCCCCGAGCCCCGCCCCCTCCGCCCCCGAGGCCGCCGGCCTGCGGGCGGAGAACGAGCGCCTCCGGGCCGAGATCGCGCGGCGCCGCGCGGAGAGCCCCGGCCGGCCCCGGGGGGGGGGCTCGAGCTGCGCCGTGCCTTCGGGGAGGGGGGAGGCTCGAGGCTCGGGCGATGGAGGCTCGGGGACGGAGGCTCGGGGATGCAGGCTTCGAGGATCGAGGTGTCGGGGATATCGAGGCTTCCAGGACGGAGGTTCTAGGATCGGGGCTCGAGGATTGCGGACCAGGATGCAGGGATCGGGGTTCGAGGATCGGGATTCGCGAGTCGGGGCTCGAGCCGCGCCCTGCTGACCTGTGCGTCCTGAAAAAGTGCGGTCTTCGACGTGTGCTCGACGCGGATTCGACGTGGGCCCGACGCGGATTCGACGCGGAGTCGACGCTGATTTGTGACACGGATTCGACACGGACTCGACGCGTTCGATTTGGATTCGACGCGGATTCGACACGGACTGGCGCGATGGGATAGACGAGGCCCCCCGAAGATGCAGCATAAGGGGGGGCGGAGAGAAGAATTGAGGGGATAAATTTGGTGCGCTCGCGCCACATCTGACATCCCACCCCTCCCACCTATCCCTTCTCATTGCGCTGTTTTTTCTCTATCCGCCCAAGCGTGTCATAAAGGACCGGGAACTTCAGAGATGACCCTATCGCGTCATGCGCAATGGGAGAACAGAGGGAGCTGTGTACATTGAGGAGGTTACAGATGAGCAGGAGGATGAGCGCGAGGGGGGGGGGCGAGGAGGGGGCCAGAGGAGGAAGCGGTGCCGATGCCGCGACACTTCCCTCCTGTTCACCTTGTTGGGCCCTCTGGGAGGCCCTCGCCGCCACGGCTGGGTTCACCTCGGAGCTGTGGTCAGAGTGCATCCTGGCGGGAAGCAGCGGTATTGGTGTCTTGTGGTTTCCCCGTGGGGCGGGGAGGAGGAGGGGAGCGGGCGGGCCCACAAGCCGCTCTCGGAGCGTTCCCGAGCGATGATGATGCTGATGATGATGCTGATGCTGCTGCTGATGATGCTGCTGATGATGATGCTGATGATGCTGATGATGCTGATGGTCACGACGACGACGATGACGATGATGATGATGATGATGATGATGATGATGATGATGATGATGATGATGATGATGGTGATGGTGATGGTGACGATGGTGATGATGATGATGATGATGATGATGGCGTGGGGGATTATGATGATGCTGATTATGATGATGCCGATGATGACGACGACGATGATGATGACGACGAATACGATACTGCTGGTGCTGCTGATGGCGATTCTGATGATGATGTCGGTGATGGTGGTGGTGATGATGATGGTGGTGGTGGTGGTGATGATGATGACGACGATGCTGATGATGATGACGATGATGATAATGCTGATGAGGACGATGATGATGCCGAGGATGCTGCTGCTGATGATGATGACGATGATGATGCAAGTGATGATGATGATGCTGCTGATGATGATAATGATGATGTTGAGGACGATGGTACCGATTGTGATGGCTGATTCGCTGATTCTGATGCTGCTGCTGCTGATGATGATGACTCCGATGATGATGATGATGCTGCTGATGATGATGCTGATGATGCTGATGATGATGCTGCTGATTACGATGCTGATGACGATGCTGCTGATACGGGTGATGATGCTGGAGATGTTGATACTGATGATGAAGAGGATGATGATATCGATGTTGCTGACCAAGATGATGATGCAGCTGATGATGACGATGGTTATGGTGACGACGACGATGATGATGAGGATGCTGATGATGATGATGATGATGCTGCTCAGGATGATGACGATGCTGCTGATGATGATGACGATGATGATGGTGATGATGACGATGATGCTGATGATGATGCTGCTGATGACGACGATGATGATGCTGATGATGACGATGATGATGATGGTGGTGGTGGTAGTGATGATGACGATGATGATGCAGCTGATGATGATGATGATGATGATGATGATGATGATGATGATGATGATGATGGTGGAGATGTCGATGCTGTTGATGATGTTGATGCTGCTGCTGATGATGATTATGATGATGCTGATGATTATGCTGATGATGCTGATGATGCTGATGGTCACGACGACGATGATGATGATGATGATGATGATGATGATGATGATGATGATGATGATGATGACGGTCACGTTGACGATGATGATGGCGTGGCGGATTATGATGATGACGCTGATTATGCTGATGCTGATGATGACGACGACGATGATGATGATGATGATGATGATGAGGACGGCGAATACGATGCTGCTGCTGCTGCTGATGACGATTCTGATGGTGATGATGACGATGATGGTGGTGTTGATGATGATGGTGGGGGTGGTGATGCTGATAATGACGCCGATGATAATGATGCTTATGCTACTGCTGATGCTGATGCTAATGATGATGATGATGATGATAATAATGATGACGATGCCGATGACGATGACGATGACGATGACGATGATGATGATGATGATGATGATGATGATGATTATGATTATGATGATGATGATTATGATGATGATGATGAAGATGATGATGATGATGATGATGATGATGATGATGGTGACGATGATGATGTCGAGGATGCTGCTGCGGCTGATGATGATGGCGATGACGATGCAAGTGATGACGATGATGCTGCTGATGATGTCGATGATGCTGACGAGGACGCTGCTCATTATGGTACTGATGCTGAGGATGCTGCTTCTGAATATGACGATGATCATAATGATGATGATGATGATGATGATGATGATGATGATGATGATGATGATGATGATGATGATGATGATGAAGATACTACTGATCATGATGATGATGGTGCCGATTGTGATGGCTGATTATGATACTGCTGCTGATGATGATGACGACGATAATGACGATGATGCTGCTGACGATGATGCTGATGATGCTGATGATGATGGTGCTGCTGATGATGATGCTGATGCTGATGATGATGATGATGATGATGCTGATACTGATGCTGCTGACGATGTGGATGCTGATGATGATATTGATGATGATGACCAAGATGATGCTGATGATGGTGATGGTGACGACGATGGTGATGATGATGATGATGATTATGATGATGCTTCTGATGATGATGATGATGACGATGATGATGGTAATGATGACGATGATGCTGATGATGATCATGCTTATGCTGATGATGATGATGATGATGATGATGATGATGATGATGATAGTTTTGATGATATGGTGATGCGGAACATGATGCTGATGATGATCATGATGATTCTGCTGCTGATGATAATGCTGATGATGATGATGATGGTGGTGGTGGTTGTGATGATTACGATGATGATGCTGATGATGGAGATGTTGATGCTGTTGATGATTATGATGATGCTGATGATGATGCTGATGCTGATGCTGATGCTAATGATGATGATAATGATGATGATGATGATGATGATGGTGATGATGATTTGATGATGATGCTGATGATGATGATGACGATGATGATGATGCTGATTATGATTATGACGATGATGATGATGATCATGATGATGATGATGATGATGAGGATGAGGATGAGGATGAGGATGAGGATGATGATGATGATGTGATGATGATGATGATTATTATGATTATGATGGTGATGATGATGATGATGATGATGATGATGATGATGATGATGATGATGATGATGATGATGATGATGATGATGATGATGATGATGATGATGATGATGATGATGATGATGATGATGATGGTGATGGTGATGAGCTGTTGCTTCTTCTGCTGCTGCTGCTGCGGAGGGGGAGGAGCAGTAGGAGTGGGAGGAGGAGGAGGAGGAGGGGAGGAGGAGGAGGAGGATGAGGATGAGTAGGAATAGGAGGAGGGAGATGGGAGGGGAGCGGGAGGAGGCGGAGGAGGAGGCGGAGGAGGAGGAGGAGGAGGAGGAGGAGGAGGAGGAGGAGGAGGAGGAGGCGGAAGAGAAGAGCGCCGCAGGAGCTCGCCCTCAAGCCGAAGCAGGATGCCGCCGGCCAGCAGAAGGCCAAGGCCACCTCGCTGCACAAACACGAGGCCGCCGGCCAGCACAAGGCCGCCAGCCGGCACATGCCCAAGGCGAGCGCCGAGGGCAAGGAGCACCGCAAGCTCGCGCTGCACGCCAAGGGCCGCTCGGCGGCCCAGCACAAGGCGAAGGCGGGCGCGGAGGGCGAGCACAGGGCGAAGGCTGGGGCGAAGGGCGAGCACGCGCTGAGCCACGGGCACGTCCAGGCTCACAAGGGGAAGGCGGAAGCCAAGGGCCAGCACAAGTCCAAGGCCGACGCGGCAGGCCATCGCACGGCCCCAGCCGCAGCGAAGGGCCACCACGCGGCGAAGGCGGAGGGCAAGGAGCACCACAGGGCCAAGGGCAAGGCTCAGAGGGCGTAGCTGGGAGCAAGCACTTCCAGGCTAGCAGAGTGCGCTTGTGCACGGCGGTAGGTTGCACGCGAGGCGGCCCGAGTCCTCGCACAGCTGACCATCTCCCGCCTGCACGGCAGAGCCTGCGCGAGTCCTGCCAGGACCTCTGCGCCTCGGTCGCCGGAGCTTGCAAAAGCGCGCCGTGCTTCCGCTTCGGACGTCGTCCCGCGTGGCTCCTGTGGCCCTCGGTGAGCCGTGCCCTTCTCTTGCCAGTCTCGGCGTCCGCTTCGGGCTCACAGAGATGTGTGTTTTCCCCAAATTGGCTTGACTATAGAAGTCCTAGCTCAATCCCTGGAGAACTGGTTCAATGAGACCCCCCCCATCTTTCTCCCTGCGCGCGCCCTCTGTTGCGCATACCTTTCTCTGTTGCACATGGTTTCCTCTTTAATCGCATGGCTTCCTCTGGAGCGCATGGCTTCCCTTGCTAGCGTCCTCGGTTTCGCATGGCTTTGCGCATGGCTTCCTCTGCTATCCGCATGGCTTCCTCTGTATTTGCATGGCTTGCTCTACTATCCGCATGGTTTCATCTGCTATTCCAATGGTTTCCTGTGGCTGTTCCAATGGTTTGCCAACAATCGTTCAATACTCGTCAAGTTTAGAAGTGTAATAGAGTAGAGGAGAGCAGAGTAGAGTAAAGTAGAGCAGAGGAGAAACTAATAGAGAAGAGTAGAGCAGAGTAGACTAGAGTGGAGTAGAACATACTAGAGTAGGGTAGAGTAGGAGTAGAGTAGAATAGGTTAGGGAAGGATAGGAGTATTATAGAGTAGAGTGGACAGGGTAGAGTAGAGTAGAGTAGGATCGAGTAGAACAGAGTAGAGTAGAGTAGGGAATCTGGAATAGTAGAGGAGAGTTAGAGTTGAGTCGAGCAGAGTAGAGCAGAGTAGGGCAGAGTTGGGTAGATGATAGAGTAGAGTCGGGTATACCAGTAGAGTAGAGTAGTTCAGAGCAGAGTAGAATAGAGGTTCGTGTATGAGAGTGGAGTAGAGTAGAGTAGGAGTAGACTGGAGTAGAGTAGAGTAGAGTAGAGAAGGAGTGGAGTAGAGTGGAATAGAGTGAGTTGAGAGTATACTAGGTCAGGGCAGGGAAGGGTCGAATAGAGAAGGGTAGAGCAGAGCAGAGCAGAGTGGAATAGGGTCGATGGTAGAGTAGAGTCGGGTGTAACATTGTAGAGTAGAGTGGACTGTCCACCACAGACTAGTCCAGTCTACTCCAGCCCTGTCTACTTCAGTCCACTCTAGTCATCTTCATTTCGGTCTTCTGATCTATTTGAAATCTGCGCTGGCTGGTTTTTATCCTCTGGCGCGTAACAGTCGTTACTCAGGCCACCCCCCTTTCCCATATCTGGTGACGGTAACGATAGTACGCAGGGGGGGGGCTGGGACCTGTAGACGGACCAATCCCGGCGACGTGGGACCAAGCCCGGCTAAATGGGGTCAATCCTCGCGATTTTTTGCAACCCTGGGTCCAATCCCCCTGGTTGTTCTTACAATAAAATATAACCTGAATAGGGTTCGAGATTCAATGGATATCCCCAGGGATGTCCACTCATATTCTGCATTTTGACACTCCGGCATTGGCCTTTTTTGTTTCCCCAAACATCCTGTGGTGTCGGGTCCTCGTTTTGAAGAGACGCTCCCCGCGTTCCCACCTCCCTTCCTTCCTTCCTCACCCCCTCCTCCTCCTCCTCCTCCTCCTCCTCCTCCTCCTCCTCCTCCTCCTCCTCGTCCTCCCCCTCCTCCTCCTCCTCCTCCCTCCTCCTCCTCCTCCTCCTCCTCCTCCTCCTCCTCCTCCTCCTCCTCCTCCTCCTCCTCCTCCTCCTCCTCCTCCTCCTCCTCCTCCTCCCGTCACCCCCCTCACTTAAGCGTGCCCCTCACACGTTTCGTGGACCCATAGGAGGTTCGCTGGGCGTCCCAGTGGTGCAGTTCGCATGCGTCCCCGCCACCCATTTCGGCACATCCCTCACATGTTTCGTGGCCCCACAGGAGCTCCGCTAAAGGTCCCAGCGGCGCAGTTCGCATGCGTCCCTGCCACCCATTCCGGCACACCCCTCACACGTTTCGTGGCCCCCCCCCCATAGGAGCCCCGCTGAAGGTCCCAGTGGCGCAGTTCGCATGCGTCCCCGCCACCCATTTCGGCACACCCATCACACGTGTCGTGGCGCCACAAGGAGCTCCGCCGAAGGTCCCAGTGGCGGTGTTCGCATGCGTTCCCGCCGCCCATTTCGGCACACCCCGCGCACGTTTCGTGACCGCATGGGGGGTTCCACCGAAGGCCCCAGTGGCGGTGTTCGCATGCGTCCCCGCCGCCCGTTTCGGCACGCCCCTCACACGCTTCATGGCCCCATAGGGGGCTCCATCGAAGACCCCAGTGGCGGTGGTCGCATGCGACCCCGCCACCACTTTCGGCACGCCCCTCACACGTGTCGTGGCCCCATAGGGAGCTCCACCGAAGGCTCCAGTGGCGGTGTTCGCATGCGTCGTCCCCGCCACGTTCCGTGGCCCCAGTGGCGGTGCTCGCATGCGTCCCCGCCACCCCCTTTCGGCCTAGCCCCTCACACGTTTCGTGGCCCCATAGGGAGTTCCACCGAAGGCCTCAGTGGCGGTGTTCGCATGCGTCCCCGCCACCCATTCCGGCGTGCCCCGCACACGTTTTGTGGCCCCATAGGAAGCTCCTCTGAAGGCTCCAATGGCGGTGTTCGTATGCGTCCCCGCCACCGATATCCACAGTCCCCTCACATGCTTCGTGGCCCCATAGGGAGCTCCACCGAAGGCCCCAGTGGCGGTGTTCGCATGCGTCCCCGCCACCCATTCCAGCACACCCCTCGCACGTTTCGTGGCCATGCGTACCCGCCACCCATGTCGGCACACCCCTCACACGTTTCGTGACCCCATAGGGAGCCCCACCGAAGACGGTACCCACAGTTGTGTTATTCACAACTGCATATTGTTGGGTCCTTCGCCAGGCTAATTTGTTGTTTTTTCCCAAGCATCCTGTGGTGTTGGTTCCTCGTTTTGAAGAGACGGTCCCCGCGTTCCCTTCTCCCTTCCTTCCTTCCTTATCCCCCCCTCTTCGCTCCTCCCGTCACTCCTTCATTTTGGCACGCCCATCGCACGTTTTGTGGCCCCACAGGCCCATAGGAGCTCCGCTGAAGGTCCCAGTGGTGCAGTTCGCATGCGTTCCCGCCACCCATTTCGGCACACCCATCACACGTTTCGTGGCCCCATAGGAGCTCCGCTGAAGGTCCCAGTGTGCGACAGGTGTGCCAAACTGGGTGGCTGGGGCGCATGGGAACGTCGCCAGTGGAGCCTTAGGTGGAGCTCCCTACGGGGTCGCGAAACGTGTAAAGGGTGCCAAAATAGGTGGTGATGAGGGCAATGCTGCTGATGATAGTGATTGGAGGAAGGAGGAGGAGGAGAGGAAGGAAAGAAGGAACGCGGGGCGCTGTCTCTTCAAAACGAAGAACCAGCACCACAGGATGGTTGGGAACACATTCGTTCTTGTGAGGATGCAAATCAACAAAACCGCCAATGTTTGCATACATTAGTCGGTGACAGCTGGCGGGCCGCCCACAATGCGACCAAGATCTTCAAACATGCTCGGTTTTTGGGCCATTTTTTCCAACCCTCCTGTGCTCGGTTCTCGTTTTGAATAGAGCGCTGTGGTCTCCACCTCCTTTTCTTCCCCCCCCTCCTCCCTCCTCTGTCCTCCTCCTCCTTCTTTTCCTCCTCCCGTCTGTCTTTCCTCCTGCTTGCGCTGCCTGGGGGCTGACTGGACCACTGCTTGCGCGATGCTCCTTCCTCCCGCTTCCCTCCTGTCTCCTGCTTCATTCACAGCCCTCACTGTAAGGTGGATAGCGTGCGCCGAAGAAGCCTCGGCAGGGGGATACCGCGCACAGGAGGGCCTCTCGCGGGGGGATCGCCTCACAGGGATTGCGTGCTCTTCGGAGGTCGATGCTGTACGCTGTGTTTAACACGCCAGCCGTAGATGCGCGAAGTGGGCTGCTGTGCGCTAGCATTTTGTTGCGCGAGGTGGGGTGCGGCAGGAAGGCGTGCCGTCGTGTGCTGCCGCGGTGCTCACCGACAGGTCTCGTGCTCGCGAGTTGCCATAGACGGGCTCGGGTGTTTCTACGACCGATTGCGAACCCTACCCCTGCGGGTCCAATCGACGCTGGGGTATCGGACATACCTGCCGTGGTTTTGCTTTGGCTGCAGACATCCTTCGAATTTTGACCCCCAGCTGGCGTTTCAGAAATTTCACCTGCAGGGGTAGGGTTGACACGAGGATGCCCAGTGTTGGAGCCGATGGCGAGTCAGCTGGGCGGTGCTGGTCCGAGTGGCGCGCTGCGGGCCGCAGTTCCGCGCGTTTGCAGCGACAGTGCCTTCACTGGCGCCTCGGGTCCCATGCACGGCGCGACCCTGCCTCTGGCCCAGCTGCTGGTCGCGCAGTCATACGGATAAGAGGATCAGAGGAAAGCTAGGCAGAGGAGGAGAAGGGTCGCCGTGGTCAGGACTCGAGGCGCACTCGATCGCTTTTCCGCTCGGCACTCCCCTCGGCGGGACTCTCAGGGGCTCTCGGCTTGCAGCGAGCTCGGCATGATCACGTGCTGCTGGTGCTGCTGCTCCGCCTTCTTTCCCCCCTGGTCAGCCTCGTGTGTGCAGAGATGAGGGTCGGGGCATTCGGGTGGTGAGCAGCCTCGCCGCCGCTCCGACGCCGCTCTGGCCGAGCAGCCAAGCCAGCCAGCATGCCGTGATGATTCTCACGGCTCCTGTCCATATCAGGTTACCGTATTCGAGCGCGTGTGCCTGCTCCGCCGGACCCCCGCGAGGCCGGCCCCAGGCCTCCTGACCCATGATGGCCCCCTCCGGTTCGGTCGATCCCATTCGACGTCGAGTTTGCGGTGCATGGTACGATTCGACTCCGAAATTCCGGCGGCCTGACGCGGTCCGGCGCTTGCACGGCGCAGCCGTGCATCACAGCGCAGCCGATCCGATTCAATTTCGACAACGTGCCGATGTAGCCTGATCCGGCATGCTCGAATCCGATCCGATTTCTCCATTCGATGTTGGCTGATCCTGCCCTGTCTTGGGAGCCGTTTTTGTCACCACGTTCCATCTTTTTACGGTCTGGGAAACGAAGCTGGCTTCTGGATGCCCAGCGTGGCGAAGGGCCGACCGTTCCGAGTTTTTCGATAGGAGGAGGAGGATGATGAGGAGGAGGAGGAGGCGGAGGAGGAGAAGGGTGGGGGGAGGAGGAGGAGGAGGAGGAGGAGGAGGAGGGGAGGGGAGGGGGGGGAGGGGGAGGAGGAGGAGGGGAGGGGGAGGGGAGGGGAGGAGGGGGAGGAGAGTGGGAGGGGAAGGGGAGGAGGAGGAGGAGGAGGAGGAGGAGGAGGAGGAGGAGGAGGAGGAGGAGGAGGAGGAGGAGGAGGAGGGGGAGGAAGAGGAGGAGGAGGAGGAGGAGGATGATGATGATGATGATGATGATGATGATGAGGAGGAGGACCAGTGTAAAACCAAGAGCCACTAACGATGGTGGAATTAACCCTCCCTCCAAGCTCCCTCTTCATAGGCCCCCACAGCGGTTCATTTCCATTGAGGGAACTGCCTCGTTGGAAGACAACTGTTTCAAGATCCTGAAGCATGCCAAAACATGGTTCTCGGGGGTTCAACGCCACGTATCAATCTGACTGCTCCGTCTTGACGACCTGGGATCGTGCCAGAGCGCCATTGTTGGGACTTCAACACCGCGAATCAACATAACTGCACCCGCATAATCCGGAATCTTTCCAAAACACAATTTCTTGTACGTTGATCATGGTAATCCGTGAAATTCGTACAAATCTTTAAAACGAATGTGCGCGGCACTAAGGCGAGAGCCCCATTTTGAAAAGGAGCCGCCCTCAATCCGCCACACTATTGCAAATTGTTAAAAAACGAATGTGCGCGGCGCTGAGGCGAGAGCCACATTTTGAAAGCCACCCGCCCTCAATCCATGAAGCTCATACAAATGTTTAAAACTAATGTGCGCGGCACTAAGGCGAGAGCCCCATTTTGAAAAGGAGCCGCCCTCATTCCGTGAAACTCTTGCAATTGTTTAGAACGAATGTGCGCGGCGCTAAGACGAGAGCCACATGTTGAAAGCGACCCGCCCTCAGTCCGTTTTTTTTTTTTTTTTTGTTTTTTTTTTTTTTTTTTTTTTTTTTTTTTTTTTTTGCAAATGTTAAATCGAATGTGCACGGCGCTAAGGCGAGAGCCACATTTTGAAAACGATCCGCCCTCAATCCGTGAAACTCTTGCAAATTGTCAAAAAGAATGTGCGCGGCGCCGACCCGCCCTCAATCCGTGAAACTTATCAACTTCTTAAAAAACCGAGTGTGCGCGGCGCTAAGGCGAGAGCCACATTTTGAAAACGACCCGCCCTCCATCTGTGAAGCTATTGCGTCCTTTTAAGCTTCAGAGTCATAAATGATGAGGAACTCTCAGGCGGAACGCCCGGCCCGTCCTAAAAATTGGCCTCGGGGTGCGACAGGGAGAAGTTATCTATAAGGAGAAGGAATGGAGGAGGAGGAGGAGGGGGAGGAGGAGGAGGAGGAGGAGGAGGAGGCGGAGGAGGCGGAGGAGGATGAGGAGGAGGAGGGGGGAGGAGGAGGAGGAGGAGGAGGAGGAGGAGGAATCATAATAATATTAACTCTCATAAGACTAATCATAATCAGAAGAGTAGTAGTAGTAGTAGTACGGTTACTAAGAGTAATATTCATACTCATAAGAAGAAGAGTGTGAATTATACTATAAGAAGAGGAAAACTAACACTATCAATAATATTAATAATAACGCTATGGTGATATCCTCATAATACTTATCATAGTAATACTGAGACAAATAAC